AGACTATTTGTCCTCGAAAGATTTATTTCTTTTTAATATCTTCTGTTGTACTGTTTAATTGTTTCTTTAATTACTCCCACATATCTACCTTAACATCTTGTCTGATAACCTTATCTACACAACTGCTATTCCTTAGTTGAAAAGTGATTTAGTGATGGCTAATCTCCTCTTCTCTTTCAATTTATGCCTTCCCTATTGTCTACTCAGTACTGGAAACAGCACTTGAAGTGACTCAAGCTCTTCTTCATTTCCCCTTTGCTTTAATTAAATCATGTATTGGCATTTGATGGAATTTATGGCTGATAATTTTAGATTTGTCTTATGCCAGACAATGTACTGTTTCATCTATTCCTTGTCAGCTTAGCTTTCTTCCAGAAAGCTGTATTAAAAGGCTCTTTAATTAAAATATTATATAAATATAATAAGCAGCCTCACCCAGGCTTAACAGTAATATTGTTCTTTTGTCTGCCATTTCCACTGTTAAAGTGACTTCTACATCAAAATATCCATAATTCTGTTGCAACTGCACACACAAAAAAGCAACCAAATTTATTTACATATATAAGCATCAGACAGCCATGTCTAATATAATAAACTTATATTGACTTAAAAGTCTCAATCATCTTGCTTAATAATATAACTTGCTTCTGTAATCATTTGGCCATTTCACGCTTACCTTACATAGTTGTTAATAATATGTGGAACAGCTGCAAACTTTCACAGTAATAGGTACAATCGAATCTGATGTGTCTAATTAATTTTTAGTCCAACAAATTAGTTTTGTTCTTCATTACTCTCCAATGGGAGGAAGACATTATATTTCATTATATTTTTTTTTGTCTGAAAGAGCAGCGCACTGTCACAGGTCACACACATCCCATGTCTGTGCTCTAATTAGTTCAACTGACAACATTGTTTGAAAAATACTACTTGTACAAGAAACGCTAATACACCTTGGGCAACATAAATATTCCACTATATTCAATATGCTGCTTTATGACTCTTTTACACAAATGAAGGACAAATTTTCTTTTCTGATTGTGCTATAAGGTGTTCTGTTTTTAGTAATACCTAGTGTTTAGCACAGTCAAACATATATGAATATGAGCTCATTTTAAATACATTTTAGACTATATTTATATGTATAATGATTAAAAGCAGATAAATTAGGAAAATGAACCAGGTTTACCACACAGGTAAAGGTGATTTTTAAATCTGTAAATTAACACAAAAGAAACTTCAGAAATGAAATACTGGACTATATAAAAATTGGACAATAGAATATTGCATGCAAGGATGGGCATGATGAAGGACAGAAATAGTAAAGACCTAACAGGAGCAGAAGAGATTAAGAAAAGTTGGCAAGAATACACAGAAAAACTATACAAAAAAAATCTTAATACCCTGGATAACAATGTTGATGTGGTCACTCACCTAGAGCCAGGCATCCTAGAGTGTGTAGTCAACTGGGTCTTAGGAAGCGTTACTATGAACAAGCTAGTGGAGGTGATGGAATTCCAGTTGAACTACTTAAAATGCTAAAAGATTATGCTGTTAACGTGTTGCACTCAATATGTCAGCAAATTTGGAAAACTCAGCACTGGCTTGGAACAGGAAAGGTCAGTTTTCATTCCAATCCCAAAGAAGGGCAGTGTCAAAGAATGTTCAAACTACTGTACATTTGTGTTCATTTCTCATGCTAGTAAGCGTATGCTTTAAATCCTTCAAGCTAGGCTTCAACAGCATGTGAACCGAAAACTCCAGATGTACAAGCTGGGTTTAGAAAAGACAGGAATCAGAGATCAAATTGCCAACACCTGTTGGATCATAGAAAAAAGCAAGGGAATTCCAAAGAAACATCTACTTCTGCTTCACTCACTACACTAAAGGCTTTGATGTGTGGATCACAACAAACTGGAAAATTTTCTAAGATATGAGAATACCGTACCACCTTACCTATTTCCTGAGAAACCTGTATGCAGGCCAAAAAGCAACAGTTAGAACAGGACATGGAACAACTGACTGGTTCAAAATTGGGAAAGGAGTATGACAAGGCTGTATATTGTCACCCTGCTTATTTAAATTATATGCAGAGTACATCATGCAAAATGCCAAGCTAGATGAATCACAAACTGGAATCAAGATTGTCAGGAAAAATGTCAACAACCTCAGATATCCAGATTATACCACACTAATGGCATAAATTGAAGAGGAAGTAAAGAGACTCTTGATGAGGGTGATAGGAGAGAGTAAAAAAGCTGACTTGAAACTGAACATTCAAAAAATAAAGATCAAGTGATCTAGACCCATCACATCATGGGAAATAGAAGGGAGAGAAGTGAAAGCAGTGACAAGTTTTATTTTGGGGGGCTCTAAAATCACTGCAGATGGTGACTGCAGCCATGAAATTCAAGGATGCTTGCTCCTTGGAAGGAAAGCGAAGACAAACCTAGACAGCAAATTAAAAAACAGAGACATCACTTTGCCAGTAAAATTTCATATAGTCAAAGCTATGGTTTTCCCAGTAGTCATGTATGGATGTGTGAGCTGGACCATGAAGAAAGCTGAATGCCAAAGAATTGATACTTTTGAGTTGTGGTGCAGGAAAAAAATGCTTGAGAGTCCCTTGGACAGCAAGGAGATCAAACCAGTCAATCCTAAAGGAAATCAACCCTGAATATTCATTGGAAGACTGTTGCTGAAAGTGAGTTTCCAATACTCCTGATGGGAAGAGCCAACTCTTTGAAAAAGACCCTGATGCTAGAAAACGTGGAACGCAAAAGGAGAAGTAAGCAGCAGAGGATGGAATGGTTAGATAGCATCACTGACTCAATGAACATGAACTTAAGCAAACTTTGGGAGAGAGGGAAGCACAGAGGAGCCTCACGTGCTGTAGTCCACAGGGTCACAAAGAGTCAGACACGACCTAGCAACTGAACAACAAATAACAAACAAATGGGCATTCTGATAGGCTTAACAAAGTAAGTTTCTATCTTATTCATAGTCAGTCTAATATGGGTTTGCAGAATGAAGGATGGGGTTTCTTCTCCATTGAGTTTTTCATGAAATGTGGATCCTTCCAGCCAATGGTGTACCGTCTCTCATAGGGTCAGCATCCCACAACTGATCGCTTGTTCTATCCGACACCTTAGGAAAGAGAGTATGAAGTGCCGTCTCAGTGGTACATGGATTGGTCCAGAGATACCATGCATCTGCCTGTGTACAATTGTCCAATATTCAGTCACTTTGTTGCACTCAACTACAAGGGAGGCTGGGAGATACAGGCTAATTTTCTTCTCTGGAAGAAAGGTGAAACCTTGGTAAACAAGTCACCTATGGTTTGAAGGACTCTCATATCTAGATAATTTACAACTTATATTCCTACCTGGGGCTTCCTTGGTTACTCAGATGATAAAGAATCTGCCAGCAATGCAAGCATGCCTAAGCACGTATGCTTGCAGATGTAAAGAGGTTAATAGGAATACTATAATTTCTGACTCAAATTATGGCCCATGAAAAGCTGAGAGGTACTTAAGACCCACTCAGGTAGGAGTAAACTAAAAGTAAAGTCTTGATCGTTCAGTCATGTCCAACTCTTTGTAACCTCATGGACTATAGCCCGCCTGGCTCCTCTGTCCACGGGATTCTCCAGGCAATTTACTGGAGTGAGTTGCCATGTCCTCCTTCAGGAGATCTTGCTCGTCTCCTGCATCTCCCGCGTTGCAGGCAGATTCTTTACTGCTGAGCCACCAAGGAAGTCCACTCCTTACATTCATCATCTGGATTAATCCTCCCAAACGTATGAAATAGAAGCTACTGTCACCAGCTAATAGAAACAGGGATTCCAGAAGATTAAGTGCCCTACATAAACCCACTGCTTTCCTAGCTAGGAAGTGACAGAGATGATACTCAAATGTGGAACTTCAAAAACCTTGCCGTTTCCAGTATGTTACAGTGCCAGGATAACTAAAACAAGAGAATTACATGTTCCGTTGATATGAGATGCTGAAATTTGCCTTTTATATTTTGCTTACAATTTATCTTTTTAATTATTTGTTTACTCACTAATGAGATATGATATTAATATGAGAATTCACTTAGTTTCCAGTTTCTGAATTCATTCATCTATTAAATAAGCACCTAAATCTTTGCTCATTAGTAATATTAGAATTCCATGAGTCTTAAACTGTTTAAAAATGTGGATTGAGATTGTCTTTATTATGTCTGAGAGGGCTAAACTGTCAGAAATATGACAACTTCTAGAATAATCTTAGTCTAGATTTAAATGTATGATTTGTTACATAGACCTTAGAATTAATTTTCAAGTTGTTTTGTAGCCAACTTTCAAGTGGATTTTCAAATTAGTTTCAGATACTTTAAGGGCATTTAGGAGTTTTATCTTTCTGTGAGATTTTAACTATAGATACTAATCTCTATGAAAAGATGTTTATGTTATTATCATTATTTAATATAGCAGTTTCAGTACCTTCCAGAAAATTAAAGTATGTTTGATCAAGGTACAGTATTTGGTAAAATATTAAGAGAAGTATTTTGATCATCTGTATTAGCAGTGCTGTAGGGGAAAGGTAATTTGCAAATACCCAGTTTAAATGTTGTAGTTGCTTCTCTTTTTTTAAATGAGAATTGTCTTACAAAATGCTTTACCTAACTGAAGAAAAGTTATTATTTCAACTCACACACTTGTTTTAGTACTTATATATGAGGCAATGAATCAAGAAGTGGTTCTGAATCTGTCCATAATAAAACAAAACACAAAGGAGCAATGTTCTTAACCACATTTCAAACTTATGATTTGATTCTTCTTTTTAAACTTATAAAATCTGCTTACCAGTAAGTTGTTACAGGGTCAGGACACAACAAATATTACCTGCTTCAAAGAAGGTTACAATCTTCTGTGCCTTTGGTATAGCACGTATGTATTTTTGTGGGGTTTTGGGTCTTAATATTTACTAGTACTAACACTGTTGTTTCTTCCATAGGGGGACGAAATGAAGTTGTCATTACTGAAAACAATAACAGCATAACTGAGCAAATCACTGATGTTGTGAAGCAACCAGCTTTTATAGCTGGTATTGGTGGTGCCTGCTGGGTAATTCTGATGGGTTTTAGCATCTGGTTGTACTGGCGAAGAAAGAAGAGAAAGGGACTCAGTAATTATGCTGGTAAGAGGCTATTTCCAGCTAAGAAAATATCTTAGCTTTAGAAATATGATAAAATGCAAGAGAAGGAATGAAATGGATTATGAAATGAGTGAATGAATGGGTGTTTTTTGCTTGATTTAAACCATTATAAACAACATGCTTTAATACACTGTTCTTCATCATATCACATATGATCATAAGGCCATCTTTTTGCCTGTATCTCCAAGGAAGCATAAGAAGAGTGAAAACCAATAACGTGATTAGCCATTTTTCTCAATAGTTCAAAACACACACACACACACACACACACACACACACACATAGACTTTGCAAGCTATGACACCATGTTTGAAAAGTATATTTAAGCAAGAGCATTCCTAAAATGCTCAGGAAAAAGAAAAGATTTGAAATGTATTTTTGTGTATTTAACAATACAGATTACAAAGGGAAATGTATCCCAGATGAAAAATACAAACAAAACAAAACAAAAAATTTCACCAGGATTGATGAAACTGATGAGGCATGATTTGTTTTACTAATCACTTAAATAGAATGTCTATATTAAAGTGACCAATGAGCATTTTAGAAAGAAGAAAAAACAGAAGCAAAAGAAAGAGAAGAAAAATAAGATCCTAGATGTTCTACTTGTTTGCAAAAATGTTTTCTTTGAATCCAGAACAGGAATTTTAAGGATGTCCAAAGTTATGGTCTTCAAAATACATCCAAGGCTGAAAGAGAGAGAAAATTATCAAGTCAGTGAGTGAAAAATGACCTCGATAATGAAGCTATGTTCAGTTAAAGCTTGAATTACATTCATTTTAAGTACTTTCTCTAACAATGATAAAAAAAAAAATTGCCTCAAAAATACTTTACATTTTCTGAAATTTTCAAGGGAACAATTTTAATTTATCATTGTCCTACAAATATTTTAAAAATCTTTGAGATATTTTATTCATCTTCTATTTCTAATTTTTACTTTAATAAGAAGCATAAATGTCTCATAAGTGATTTTGACAGAGGCTTCATTACTTATTAAGCTTATCAGCTGCTTTAACTTGTAGCATCCAAGCTTCTAAGAATAGTTCAAAATGAAAGAAACAGCATCCATTTCGTTGTTTTTCTTGTTATTGAGTGGTATTTAAATATGATCAGTTGATGATCACATTGCAGCTCATGACTATAGCTTGTAGAAATAGCATTTGTTAGTTACTGGTTAGAATATATTCCCAGGACTAGAGAAGGTAGTGTAGTGTATTCATTGCAGAAGGGTTTCCATACTTTGTGACTTGCTATTCTCATTTCTCATTGGTTGCTGATGCCTGCTTCCTTATGCTTTGTCATCTGAGTGCTTTATCACCCTGCCAGTGAAGGATTCTTCCTGGAAAGGGGTGCTGGGCAATGACTGCTGAGTGTCAGAGTCATGAGCATTAATGATACTTTCATGTAACTTCTTGTTTTGCAGTCCAGTCCCCTGCTTTCATTCCCTGAAGATATTGTCCGTTTACCTGTCTGTTTAGTCATTCACCATGTTCTGTTTTGTCTCTGTGACATGCCCATGTACATCAAAGACGATTTTTGTGTTTATCTCTTTGCTTGACTTTAGTGAAAATAATAAAAGACTGACAATGTTAGTCACTTCAGAGCCACATTTGGAGTGTTGCATTTTTACCCTCTGTAGGATTTTCATTTACTTCTTCCTAATAGCATTACTCTCATAATTAGTAGCTATGTTTTTTTGTAAAATCATGTCAGAGAGCCTTTCTTCTTTTCTTTCTTCTTCTCTTTAAAAACAGCAGTTCTTTATATTTGATTGGAAAATATCTGTTGGTCTTTGAGCTGGACAAGAATAGCACATTTCCTGTTGTCATTTCTCATTGTGATTGATATCCATCTGCTTGTAGAAGAACTGCTAACTCAGAAGGTGCTATGCCCTTCAAATATTTTGGAATCAGGCCAAGCCACAGAGCAGGCTTTCTGAACCTTTATCCTTAATTGATAGATGGCTGACTCTCAGAATGGATTCACCTTCAGCTGGAAATTTGCCTTCCAGCAAGTGCTGTTCTCTTCTAGGTGAGAAGCAAATGAAAATCCACACTACAGGTACTCAGCATTGCATATCTGACTTGGTAATATTCTCTACACATTCCCCCCCATAAATATCCTAAGCTCCACTTTCTGGAATTTTTATATTCTTGTCTTTCTATAGCTTAAAGAATATGAGGATTGTAAATAGGCATGTTTAGTGTAGTATTTGTTTATCATATGTTAAAATTTATGATATTTGATTCACGAGCTAATGATCTGTTTTAAGAGCACAGAGATTTCATACAGGGCTAATTTCCTCTGAAGTATTTTATAAAAGTTATCGAGAAAGTAGTCTATGTGTAATAGTTCTGTTTATATTTTGGTTTTCACAGAAATTTCTGTGGGAATCTTCTAATTTTACAAGTATGAAATGCAAAACTGGTAACCTTAAAGCAGTGTAATTTTACTCAGAAAATGAAAAGTCTAACATTTCAACTTTTTACTCCACAGTAATATCTATATAGTTTCAAATTTTTCTTACTGATTTATGACACCAGTGATCATTTTTTTTTCAAAGAACATAAGTCTATATTGGGATCAGTATTTAAATTAATTTATAACAAAAGATGACTTCATTTGCTTTAGACCCCAAATGTGATCTTAGATTATACTTCAACATCTGCTACAACTCATATAAATTCAGAAACATACATTTTAATAATGCTGATCCTAAGTAGAATTGAAGTGGTGATTTAGCCGCTAAGTTGTGTCTGACTCTTGCGACCCCATGGGCTGTAGCCCGCCAGGCTTCTCTGTCCACGGGGTTTTCGAGGTAAGAATACCAGACTGGGTTGCTGTTTGTTTCTCCAAAGCAGCAACTGAGCCCAGGTCTCCTGCACTGCAGATAAATTCTTTACTAACTAAGCTACCCGAGAATTCCCAAGTAAAATTAAAAAGTAGGTTGAATTTGATTTCAGTACTTGCCTTTTCTACTTCATTCTAAGTCTTCTTAATATCACAGGTAGATTTTTAACCATCATAGGGAAGATTTAAACCATCACAGGGAAGATTTTAACTAGTGGGGAGAAGAAATCCTTTGCAGAGTGGAAAACCCAAGTCTCCACAGGATGCCTTCCACTCACCCTATAGGCAAAATCTCACCCACTGATTTTTATTGTGGTTAATCTTTGACTCTCCATCTCCATGTGGAAGTTATATTTGAATGCTTAGAAGAATAGTAAAAAAAAAAAAATGACATGCTATTCAGCGTTGATATTGTTCTTATGATTCAGAAGAGTTAACATATTGATCATAGAACATTAGCGGATCAGCACCATAGATTGTAAAAGCAACTGTCAGGAATCAAATGTAAACTTATACAGCGAAATGATCTGAGAGAAGAATTTGGCCTGAATGTAAAGTTTTGCTTCTTTACGCAGCAGAACATGGCGATTTCCCCAGAGCAAAGTTACTAGCTTCCTATTTCAGGATTTTCCTATTTATTCTTTGTTTAAATTCTTCAGACACAAACACGCACAAAAGATTTGCTCGTGGCTCAAAGATGGGCAGCTAGAATGAGAGACATATTCCCCTGTCTCATGTTCTACATGAAATCATTTTATTTTTTTCTAGAGTAACATGCACTGTTATTTATCTTGATCTTCACTGAGTACTAACAGTGCTTGCCTTTGCCTGTGAGCTTCCTGACTGCCAGAAATATTCACCACCTGAGTTGTTATAGGATGAAATAGAATCATGAAGATATTTGGGCAGAAAATATTAGGTGATTTTTGAATCTAGAGAAAATTTTGATTGCATGTGTTAATGGTGTTTGTGAATAGAAGAGTGAACAATATAGTTTGCGTAAAGCCATGCAGCTTTCATGAGGATTCTGTATGTCATATTATGATCTTCATGAAGACTGCATGATGCTTTTGAAACTAATGCTGGTCATATTTCTATCAATAATTTTTAAGTTATCAACTTTTTAATGAAAGTAAACTAACTTTCACACTTTTAAAGGGATGAGTTCTATGTTACAAATATTATCTCTGAGGATGGCAGATTTGATTAAACTCAGTAAATGTAAATAATTTAATCAGTGAGCAAATTATGAAATACCAAACACTTTATGCATAGGTTTTAAACCATTGGTGAAATTATTTGACAAAACCATCCTAAGACAGCTAAAAGATTTGATGGAATTTTTATACTCTGATTATATGGGCTTGAATTAAGGCTTATTAAAAGAGGATTAATCTACATTCATAGTTGAGAAATAGCTTATCAGGCAAGGGAATGAGGCTTGGCTGGCAACATTAAAGTTTCCATTTGGAGGAGGAAAATGTGGCCTACTAGAGATAGGCACTCTGAAAGCTTCCTTACCTCAAAATGTCAATTTTCCATGTAGTTATATTTCCCTTTTCCCTCAGTGCTAGCAGGCGTGAGATTAGGATTAATCCTGACAGATAATAGTAGAGGTACTTTGTATATGATCTGAACTTGCAAAATCTCTTTACCATGTATCTTTCATAAATGCTGCAATAAATTCAGAATATTTAATATATTTCTAAAACAGTTAAGAGTGTAGTGTCTATAGAGCTTTTTGGAAACCTTAGCACTAGTCAGACAGTTTTAGAAATAAAAACTCCTGTGCACTCTACGTTGCTCCGTTCAAAGTCTTAATTTTAGATACTATCAGAAACTCTTGGTAAAAAACACTCACTTATTTAAAAGTTACTTTTGAAAAGCGCAAAGTTACTACACTATGATTATCAAAACTGTGACTACAGCAAGACTGTTCAACCACTTACCCTCTCTATCCTCTTTTAGCTTTAAGGTAGTTCAGCACCTCTGAAATGAGAGCTACTTCAAAACAGCTTTCAAATTTGCTGAGGCATTTATTTTTATGTTTCTCTGTCTCTACACACACACACACACAATGTTGATCAAAACACCAAATATGACTTCCATTTTAGGAGATCTAATTGTTTATC